TGAATTGCCAAACTTTTCTCTATTCCCTTTTTGACCAAAAATCAATTATCTGGTGACAGTTCGTCAGAACCGTAGACAGGGTCGACATATCATTCTCCATTCTTGACGTTGCTCGAATGCTGGAGCAGATATCGCGATGCCAAAAGCGGGTCAACATGTCAAGAACGGCTCACGGGCGGAACTCTGTCCGACGATCCATGACCTAAGCTCTGTAATCGTATCCACCGGGAAGTAACTTTGAAATCAAGGAGCAGTACAGCTAATGTACGACTTGCCTGATTTTCAGCATCAGCTAATTTTCGCGAATAAATAAAATTGTAGCCTGCGATTTACCGTGATGATGGCTTCCGTGCCGGAGGCCGAGTCATTTGAGTAAACAGAAAAAAAACCTGACCTGATCGTATCTGAAACCATTGTTTTGTTCAAACTGAGGATCAGCTACGAGAACTGCTGGAACTGTACCTAACAAGTTTCGGAAGAATCTAGTATGCAAATCATACGATTCATTAAATGTCAGTAGCCACTGAATTAGGAAAAGTTCCTATGCGTTTAGATGTGCATCCATTTAACGCATTTCGTTCCCGCTACAGGTCTGGCGTATTGCACGACAGATCTTCATGGTATGTTATCCAAACGTTGTCATTCACACCATCAGTCGGATGATGCTGCTGTGTGCGTACAGCACATGGGGGATCGGCGAAGAAAAGCCGGCTAACACGCGGTCGCCATACCGCAGAATGTGGCGCAGTCTGCGAATGTTCAAACCGTAGCCTCGACGTCAGCATTCAGGTACGAGTGTGCCGCCAACTGTGACATGATTCTCTACATTCGACGGCTCTTCCTGTCAATTAAATACCCAACTCACAACGCAGCAGGCGAAACAGCATCGATTACAAGGCGTCAGCATTTCGTTAGCAGAGTATATAAAAATGGTTCAACATAAACATCAAAGCTTGTTCACACTCACAGTGTGTCAAACAGCGTATAATTCGTCTTTGAGTAGATCTGACCTTGGAAGAGACACGAGTGATCTGGCAGGTTCCGGTGAACGAGCAACTGAAATTGACGCGGCAGCATATAACGAGTACCCCCAGCTCTCTGAATATCGTTCATGATGACTGCGAGGTGCGTCTTGCGGATGAAATGACGCCAGATGCACCTGGCACCGTAAATGCGCTAATATCGTTGAGCCGTGGCTTGGAGCAATGGCACCCGAAGCACTGTGAAATCTGGTTTTGGGGCAGTTGAAGGCACTAGTAGATAAAATAATGTACAGCATCCACATGTACAATGCAAATCGATGCTAGATTGAACAAACTCCTCCGTAAAAACTTCGCAGTAAAGCAGTGAGGAGCAGAATCGACTCGGCTGCTGGCCTTATTTCATAAATGGGTGCTGCATACAGTACGAAATAAGTGGGCCACACGAAAGTGTGGCATTGCTGCTTTAAACTCGGAAACGGATGTAACCCGATCTGGGTTGTCC